CCACCGCCCCGCGGGGCAGAGCCGGTGCCCGAGGCTGCCCGGGCCGAGCCGGGTGGAGGCCGAGGGCAAGGGGTTCCCAGGGGTCTCGCCGCGGGGGGACTGCCTGTGGCACTGAGGCATCGCTCCCCTCGGTGCCTGTTTGGGGAACTTGGGGAGGTTAAAACACAGCCAAGCTGAGCAGCTCCCCACTCCCAGTCGGGCTTCACCCAGTGCTCGCTGGGGCACATGATTTAATCTTTCAAAAGGGAGTGACTACCTCCTCATTTACAAGCAAAATTATCAAGACCACCGCAGCCGGATAACTGGTTTCTAGAACAAGGGCGAAGATGAGCCGGCTCATCCCGTCTGAGAATCGTAGAATCGTTTAGGTTGGAAAAAACCTTTAAGATGATCGAGACCAACCATTAACCTAACCCTGCCATCCCACCACTAAACCATGTCCCTAAGCACCTCCTCTACCCGTCTTTTAAATACCTCCAGGGATGGGGATTCGACCAGTTCCCCGGGCAGCCCGTTCCAGTGCCTGACAACCTTTTCAGTGAAAAAATTTTTCCTTATGTCCAACCTAAACCTGCCCTGGCACAACTTGAGGCTTAAGCTAGGTCATCCCCAAGAAACTGCGAAAAACCTTGTCTCGAAGTAATCAACATTTCGTTTACCTCGTGTTTCTCAGCGTGCTGCGATGAAATGTTAGCAGTATTTCGAATACCGCAGAATGGTGCATTTACACTGGCCAGTAGGATTTAATGCTATTTTATATGCACCTTGTTTCATTTCCCCACGAAATGTGATTTTTTTAACCTCTCAAGTTTTTACTTGCACACTTAAGAAAAACAGGCAGAAGTTCATTCTGGAGAACATGGGTCTACCAAAGAGAAGGTGAATGCGGTTCAGAAGGAAGCCATTTACACTGCAGGGCTTTGCTGAAAGCTTTGCCCTCACCTCACCCTCCCCTTCTCAGTGTAAGCACCTGCAAATCACCTCCCACTCACTTGAAAGAAGGGGGGGGGGGGATCGTTTCCAGTGAGAACCATCACATTTACACTTTCTCGGTTTAGAAAAGGTACACGGGATATTAATCATCACACTCTTTGTATAAATTAAGAATTATTTGCACTGACGTGCAATGCTTTTCACTTCTCTTCCCCTTATTAACAGACACGAGGTAAAGGGTGCATTTTTATTTCTATAAACTGCCTAAATATAGGGGAGATAGAACTTTATCAGCACAGTTCTTTATCTAGGGTACCTGCATACCCTAGATTTCTTGCTTTTCCGCCCCACTTGAATGTGAAAGCCCACATTGCTTTAAATCAGTAGAAATCATTAAGAGTTGTAGCAAGAAATTAAATTAGGGTGAATTGTGCCGTGAGAAATTTAGAAATATTTGCATGAGTTACAGAGATCGTTCTAATTATGACTGGTACCGGTAATGCTGCCGCTAATAAAAGCATGAATTCAGCTCGTGAACATGCTCTGTCCCTTTAATGACAAATACATATTTTTGGAAGGGAAAGGTTGTTTTTTTTTTTTTTAACTTGTCAATGTGAGCAGTAATTCTTTGACAGAATTTTGATCGTATAACTCACACAGGTTGTTTGCGATGCCCAAGCAATTAATAAGGAACGCAAGATGAGCGATGTGAATTGTGTCGTCCTGCATGTTCGCACAATATTGTTCAGTGAGTCCCTTTGCCTCACCTGTACTCTCACTCCTGCTCTAGAATAAATGAAGATTAATAGCGATAAATGGGCATCTGTATGCGTTTGTGTACATTTTTCTAATAAAGTCCTCGGTGTGAGCTGTTCGTTCAGCTCAGCCACGTAGCAACGAGCGCGCTCTCTAGGTAAAACCTGCTGAATTTAAGAATTGCCAGTATTTTCTTGACTGAACTGCATGTACCTTGACTGTAACATCATTCTGCCTCCCTTTTGCCCGTGACATGGTGCCTAAAAAAGGAACGCGCTCTCTTTGGCAGAAAAAAAGCACAAAAAACTGTGATGCTAGGAATTGGTGCCCATTTGGTGCCTGGCTGGAGCAAAACTTCCCGTTTAGTTTTTTTTTTTTTCCCAAGAGGAATCGAGTTTGAGTGCCACAACTGCCCGGCCAACACAGCCAACGTCTGGTACCTACGGACAATTGGGGGATTCCCTTCTGAGCAGCAATGCTGCTCCAGTCCAAAAGCTCGTGTTGCCTCAGCCAGAGGTGTTTGTTTTTGTTAAAAACACAATAAACACCAATGCTGCTATCATCACTATG